CGTGCAAGCTCTTTGATGATCTCAGAGGAGGACAGTGGGGCAGGCAGGGCTTCTACAGGTCACAGAGATCTCAGTGTTTAAACTGAGCCAGAACCTCCCCATTCCATTCCATTCCATTCCATTCCATGTGTAAAGTTTTTTATGATCTCAGAGGAGGACAGTGGGGCAGGCAGGGCTTCTACAGGTCACAGAGATCTCAGTGTTTAAACTGAGCCAGAACCTCCCCTTTCCAGCCCCCAGGGAGGAGTTCTCCACCTTTGCTTCATCCATAAAACATCCTGACCACAGGCAAGAGGGGCATTCCCAGCAGGAGCTGCCCACATGGGTCCAGTGTGGGATTCCCTGCCGGTGACAAGGTGACCTCTTTGCCACGTGCCAGGCTCTAACTAACCTCCTCCTGTAGGAGCTGGGAAGGAATATCAGGTCTTGCTGTCAGCTGCTGAGATTTGGACTTAAGCTGGGAGGACATCAGGTAAAATCCCCAACGATTTCAGCAGTTTACACAGGAAAATTTCACACACGAGGAGAAATCAGTGCTTCCTTGCCCTGTGTTTTGCTGTCCATTCTCACCAGATCCAACCTCTGCTCTCAGGGATGTCCAGGGACAGACAGGGGTGGAGAAGCGAGGAGCTTGAATGCAGCACACCTTCCTGAGAGGCACTCAGCCAAATCCCTTTGCTATTTGACTGGCAAAACCAGCAAACCAAAGCCAAACACCTTTGTCTGCAAGCTCAGCTGCTCCAGCCAGGGGGATTCTTGCTGGAGGAACAGAGCGTGTGTCATAAGGAGCTGAAGATGCCAAGGAGAGGTTTGAGATCTGCCCCATGGCAATTACTCACAGCTCTTTACCAATCATCTCTGGAGCTTTCATGGCCACTAAAGCTCATCTGAAATAGAGGAAATGACTTATGGAGTTATTCCTGCCTTGCATGAGGTTGGAGATTCCAGGGGAGGGGAGCTGTGCCGCACAAGATGATTCCTGCAGCAGGGAGGGTGGGAATTGATTCATTTCTGTGCCTCTGGCTCCTCTTCCACATCGTGGACCCCACTCAGGAGCCACTCAGCCACAAATCCAAGCAGAAGCTCAGCCCTGCTGAGGAGACCAAAGCATGTTTTGACCAAAAAACACACCAAGCGTGAAGCAAAACTTCCCAACAAGAAGAGACCTTTGGAGGGTGTGCCCTGCAGTGACAGATTTATGGAGACCAGCCTACTTAAGGCAGCAGAGGTTGAGAAGGAATTGTTCATGAGTCTCTCCAAACAGAAATCAGACACTCTGAGACACCTTAATCAATGTGGCAGAAGTGGAAAAGCATCTAGAAGTGGAAGATAAAACACCACTAACAAAACAGAAGTGATGAGCACATGTGAGGAAGGGGGATTTGATTTAGTTCAGAGCAATGGGGACAGCAAAAAAAGGGAAAAAATTAGCAGGAAAGGCAGGAAAATCCCCAGCACTTCAGTCCAGCATTACTGTGTTTCAGTTACCCATTCATTATAAAAACCCTTCCAGCCCTGGAGCCACCTGATTTATCAAGAAGCAAATAATATATTTTGAGGGACACTTTTAACCGTGTTTTGCAGTCAGCATCGTGGATCCCTACAAGGTGGGGACATGAAGAGCAGAAGGACCAGGGAATGATGTTTATCTTTTTGGGCCACCAAAATGTGACAGCACTGCAATGGTCTTCCAGGAATGTTCACATAGAGACAAGACTAATTAGACATTCATTAAGTGCCTAACTCAGCACAGCACTTAAGCACACATTTAACCTTCTCTCATTACAGGGTCACATCAACATCCCTGTTAAAGCTCCAGCTCAAATTACAGAATCCAGCTCGCATTTGGGAGGGTTACCAGCACTTTCTGCCCATGAAGAACCAATGCCCAGCATTTCAGGAGGTTTTCCCTTCTTCACTCTCCTGTCCTTGCCCCCCAAACCTATTCCAAAAATGCCAATTTGCATCCCAAAAAAGTGAGTTTACATCTAAACATCAGGACCTACAAACAAACCTCTACCTTCTTCCCACATTTCCTGAATTAGCCAGGGGAGATCTGAAAATGGCCAAAAATGGCTTCCATGTTGAATTGTCTTCTCCTGGAAAGCATTTCCAGTTCAAGCTGCCCAAGATTTCAAAGCATGTCTTGCTGATCACCAGGGCAAGCTCCACGTGCAGGAAGACCAAAATATCTGAGGGACAACCTGAGGGATTCTTCTGCAACCACCACTATCTGCTGTACCCTCTGCAATGTCTGTGTGGGACAGTGAGTGCAAAGAGTCTCACTAAACCTGGGAAGGAAATGTGGAGCAGTTCCTCCTTCCTCCAGACACTGAAGAACAGATGCTCTAGATAAGACAGCGTCACTTTGGCAGAGTTTCTTTGTGAAGTTCCTGAGTAAATGATCATAAACTTCCCTGTGCACCTGAGCCAGGTGTAAAATCACTGGCTGTGAGTGAAAACAGGCTGTCAGTTATGTTTTCTTGAGAGTCCCTGTATTTCTGGAGCAATGGGATCCTCTTGGAGTGAAGCTTTTCACCGGGCTCTCACCCACAGACCATGAGCCAAAGCAGCGCTGCGCCCACTGGAACATCTCCTTGTAAAGTTGCACCCATCCATTTTCTTTGGAAATACCCAAGGAATAAAAAGGCACATTAGGAAAAGTCATGTTTCATATTTCAGGATGGCATCTGGCAATTCATAGGATGGTTTGAGTTGGAAGGGACCACAAAGATCATCTCGTTCCAACCCCCTGCCATGGGCAGGGAACTTTCCATATTCCTTCTTGTGCCTTTAAAGTCATCAGAGTAGGTTAGTACAGCTCACACATCTCCACTTGTTCCAGGATGAAAGTGTTAAGACAGGCCCAGAAACAACAAATGACTCAGAAAGCAGCAGGGAGGGAAAAATAGCAATGATAATAATAATAATAATAAAAAAAATTTACAAAAGCTTGTCGGGAAAAAACCCGCTACAAATACAATTGGAACAGCAATGATTGCAATAACCAGCATCAGCACTTGGAAATCAGGAACCCTATCAAAATATTCCACCCACAAGATGCTGTTAAGGGACTGCTGACTCCCTGTCCAAATTGGATCTCGCCTCCATCTTCCTGATCAAGCCTTTGCATAAATCAAAACAGACACAGTGACAGACAGAGCAGCACATGGAGAGCCCGGGCACCCTGCAAGCATCGTTTCTGTGTGGATGGCATCCCACCAGCCAAGATGATAATTCCCTGTCTCCAGTATGGAGCAGATGTGAGCAGCCAGCAGAAAAATTATCTGCAGTCTACAAATATTTGACACCCAAAAAGGATTTTGATTCAGCCACCCTTGAGCCTCTTTCATATTTACTTCGTGGGAACATTCAGGCACTCGAGCTGGACTAGGAGAGATCCCTGCAAAAGCCAATATTAAGCTTGAATGCTTCAGGATTTGCTGAAAATCTTATTTCAAATTTCACCTTTGGTTGCAGTGAGAAAGGTCACACTGCTTGGGTGGAACGCATAAATCACCCAATCAGCAAATTCCAGGCATGACACATGACTGAACTCCGGGAGGCTCCTCAGAGCTGTTCACACAGGAGAAAACATCTCGTCAAGAGAAAAAAAAAAAAACCAAAAAAAAAACCAAAAAAAAAAACAACCCAAATCTGGAGAGCCTTGTGCTTGTGGCCAGGGAAGGAGGCACGACTGAAGAACTAATTTGCAGGATTTATGGCTCGGCTGTGCCTTCATGTATTGATTCACAGACCAGTGAGAAACAAAACCTCCCCCAAAATACACTGACAAAAGCAGGAGTCCCTGATCATACCCTGATCTCTCAGCTAATGCCAGGCTGCAGTCTGCAGGAAAATCACTCTGCACAGCCTGAATCTGTGCCTGGTCACCTCCTGACTACTGCAAATCTGGCCTCTTCCCCTCAACCCTGAGACATCGCTCCCTCAACAGGGGTGGAAAAGCCAGGAAGGATCCCCAAATTCCTGACCCTGACAGATGTCAACTTTCTGCTGGTGGCAGAGGACATTTCAGTCCAGCACCTGAAGAAGATGAGACCTTGGGGTGAGGGTCAGGTGGGGGGCTGAGACTCGCTGAACTGGAGGCTCCATTCCCTGCCACCTGTGTTGCTGTTTAGCATCACACCTCTGCTTTTTACATAACCTGTGTGCTGGGGTGGGAGCTGAGAATAAACACCCTGGAGCAGACCTGACACAGGCAGTAAGAGAAAGGCTCCACTTTCAGACCCCACCGAGTTCCTTCTGCTGCGCAAGGCTGTGTCAGGTCTCTGGAAGGAGCATTCCCCTCCCCAGAACATGATCAGACTTCAGGATCATCCCACCTTGACTCACAGCCCTTTTTCTCATGGCTCTCCCAGCTCCCCTGTCCCTTTCCAGCCCACACCATACTCAAGACCACAATCAAAACCCAGTGAAATATCTGAGGAATGAGCCCAAGCAACCCCATGCAAGCAGCATGGTGAATTCTCTTTCTTAAAGCCTCCAGAAGGAAAATGAAGCTGAGAACAAAATGAGAGTGCCTTCTGTTGCCATCCCCTTTTGAACCAGACCCAAGAATTAAGTTTTCCCTAGGAATTAAAAGTGGTTGATAGGGCTGCTGAGAGCAGCCCGCCTCGGGAGGTAGCTTGGATCCTGTTTTTTTTTTCTAGGACATCTGTAATTACTTTGGAAAACTGCTCACCCTCAGGTAAGAAGCTCCCTCTCAGCAGCTCGGAGGCTGCAGGAGTGAAACAAGCAATGAACAAGCCCCGAGAACGAATTGCAACAACTCGGGGAATATTTGGGGGCAGCTGATTTGCAATTCCAGTCGCAGGCTCATAAAGAGCCTCGTGGGTTACCTGACCTGCCTGTCGATTGCCAAATGAGGTTTTTCATGCCAGGAATCCACAGAGAGGGACACAGAGGTGACGGGGACAGTGTGAGAGCAGAGTCCAAGCAGCCCTCCCTCCCCAACACCCCCCCGACCACCCTCCACTCACCCAGGAACTCCGCTCCGTTGCTGTCCTTGGGGCTGCTCACGCAGTTCTCCAGGTAAATTCCATCCTTGTAGCAATCCTCCTTCTTCCTGGTGAACCCCAGGATCTCGCTGGCCTGATCCAGGACCTCCCCTCCCGAGCAGGAGCATGGGGTCTGCATGATGCCACACGGGTGGGAGCTGCTGCTGATGGCCAGGCAGGCGTCCAGCCACTTGCAGAGCATCTGGCAGGCGGCTTTGCTCGGGTTCCTGTTGCCCACCACCAGATACTCCACCGAGAAGTCCCTCTCCTGAGCCTTGCTGGGCTTCCACCGCATGGGCCAGGTGTCCACGCCCGGCGGGGCCGTCTGCTTCATCTGCAGGAATTGTTTGTTGGACTGGAGGAAGGCAAAGCGGGTGGAGCCATCGCAGAGCTTCAAGACATCGTCGAAGCTCTCCATGCCCAGGTAGGTGCGGGTGGACTCCAGGAAGGAGTCGAACTGGTAGGTGCGGATGTGCTGGTGGTCACATACGCCGGAGGGTTTGAGGATCTTCATGTACAAAGTGTACCTGCGAGGGTCGGGGTTCTGGATAATCCAAGAGCAGAGGGAGGAGTTCAACGGGAAGACGGCAAAGGAGGAGAAATACCCAAAGAATTTCCCTTGGACCAAAGTGGTGCAGGGAGTTTGTGCCAGGTCCAGAGCGACCACGGTCCACACAAAGTAGAGTGGCGATACCAAAAGCAGGTTCAGGGCGGATCCAATGCTCCTCATCCTAGGTCTCGGGTCCTCTGGAACTCAAAGTAAATGTCAAGCAGGTGCCAGATCCTGGACATAACAGGGACCAGCTTAGAGGAAAAGCAGAGTTTAAGAGGCTCTGGATCTGAAATCAAGCCGATCCTCCCATGTCTGGATTTGAGCTCCCTCCTGTGGCCATAAACAACACCTGGAAAAAACAGGGAAGGGAAGGAGGAGGGGAGAGAAAGAGAAGAGATTTGGGATTTGGTCGTTTAGGCGGTACTTTGTTGTTGTTGTTGTTGTTTTTATTAACCCTTCACGCGGCTGAGAACCCACACAGCAGCCCCAGTCCTGGCACTTCACACGGGGGGAAGATGCAGCCCCACATCACCATCCCCAGGCTTGGTTTGGGGTGTCCCCATTCTCAGGCTTGGTTTGGGGTGTCCCCATCCCTACGCTTGTTTTGGGGGTATCCCGACCCCCAGGAGGGGCTGAACTGTGACTCAGCCGGGGGTGAGCACAGCTGTGACCTGCTTTCCTTCCCTGTGCCCCCCTGCCCATGCAGATCCCTCTGCTGAGCAGAGCCGAGCCTTGCCTGTGAATCTGAACCATCTCCCCAGAGAAAACAGGTTTGGTATCTGGGTTAGGGAGTCTCCAGCTCTCTCCATCCCCAGGGAGCTGGTTCAACACAGACTTCAGGCTGCACCTGGGGAGGGTGGGCTGGAGGTCAGCATGGCCAGCTGGGCTCTGCCTCTTCTCTTCCTTCTGCCAGCACTTGCTTTTTAGCCTCTTGATGTCCCTCCTTTTCTCTCTCCCTTCCACCAAAACCATGCAGGGAAGGGAGCTGTTGCTCAGGAACCCAGCTCTGGTGTAACCCTGAGGCCAGACAGGATAATGGATGGAGCTGTACACCCAGTACAGGAGCAAAAAAGGACAACAGAGACAGATTTTATCTCTTCCCACATCAGGCACCCACCTCTCCTTTCACCCCTGAGTGCAGAACACCCCAAAGCCTGTGGTGCTGTAGCCAAGGCTTAAAGCATCTGCAGTGTGAGAGCCCTCTGTTCCAGTGCCAGGACCTCCTTCAGCCCCCAAAACCTTCAACCAAAGTAGAATCCACCCTGCAGTGCCCTAAGGATGCATTCCCTGCAACCTTCTGTGGCACAGGTTCCTCCTTCAGCCCAGAGCCCTGCTCCCCCCCCCATGCTAAAGAGGCACTCCTGTAAATCTCCCTCTTTCTTACCCCAACAAAAGACTCTCCTCTGGTCCCTTCCCTCCATCTCCTCTCTTTCCAGGAGATAAGAGAGAAGGGGAAAATAAGATGAGAAATAAGATGAGTAGCAGGACTTTACTTCTTGTACTCCCTCCCACAATTGTCCACCCCCAAATTTGGGGAGGGGCTCTGTTGACAGGGCAGGAGGGGCAGACCCTCAGGGTGTGGGGCAGGACTGCTGATCACACAGCCGTGGCACCTTTTCCCTCCCACCTTTCCAGCTTTTTCCCTTCTTCCCCTCTGAGCTCACCCCAGGCAGAGAAAATCGGGCGTTTCCCTTTGGGTGAGGCTCATCCTGACCCTGCGGCACTTGCTGCCTCCAAAACAGATCTGCTGCCCCATTTCCAAAGGACGGGGGGGAACTGGGAGGAAGATTTCCCCCTATCAAAGCCACCATTTCGGGAGACTTCGCGGTTCATAGCAAAAGCAAGCGCCCAGGACCTCTGCACTGAAATGCAAACAGCCCAACATCGCCCTGGGCTGCAACCTCCAAATAATTCAGATCGTCTGGGATGTGTTTCCCATGATCAGGGTGGCACTGCCGGGAAGGAATTAGGGTGAGGGACTGCGGAGAGGGGCATCTGCATCCAGGGAGGAGGGAAAACTCGTTTTCATTGCAGCCGCTCCTCCAGCTCCAGCCCCGCTGCTGTCCCCAGTGCTGCCATCTCCCACCCCATGCCAGGCTCTGCCTTCCCAGACTGCAAACAGAGGGAGCTTTACAAATTCCCAGCAAATCCACAGCTCAGGCAGCTAATCCCAGCCCCAGGAGAGACTGAAAAACAAGAAATGAGAAGCCCACAGACCATCCTGTGAATCTGGGAGGAGATGAGAAGCTAAATGCACCTCCACATTCACTCAGTTTCTCTCCCTGCTCTGTATCAAAGACTTGTCTCTGCATCTCCCTTCTTCTGCCAAAACCTTTTCTTTTGGGCAGGAAAGGGTTAGGGAGCTCGGAAGTCAGACTTGCTATTTGCAAACTGTGTTTCAGATCACTGCAGCCCCTGCCACCACGTTCCTGAGTGTGTGTTAGACCTGACACTAATCAGCATGGAGTCCAAATGCATTTGGACTTAAATTTTTTACAAGTCAGATCCCCACTCCTGGCTGGTTTGCAGTCTACAAAGCTCGACAGTGCAAATTTCCCTTTGCCAGGCTCCTGCCTGCCTCTGGGGCCAGAATTCAGAGTGGAAAGGGGATGAAAACCTGATCTTGCTTGCAAAAAACACAGGCATCTACCAAACATCTCATAAATTTCCTTATTAGCAGGAGGGGTTGTCTAAACAGGACTATGAGTATTTTAAATATCAGATTCCAGAGCTGAAAGGCTCTTGCTTTATCTCAGACTCTGAGAGGGAGCACTGGCTCTCTTAGGGCAGTGCTGGAAAAGCTCATTCTGTTTGCAAATCCAAACCCTACCTGACCTTCACCCTGCTAATCCAGCCAGGGATCACACAATTATGGAATGTATTGAGTTAGAAGGGACCCACAAGGATCACAGAACCATAGAGAGGGTTGGGTGGGAAGGGACATTAAAGATAATTTTGTGCAACTCTCTCTCATGGGCAGGGACATCTTCCACTATCCCAGGCTGCTCCAAGCCCTGTCCAACCTGGCCTTGGACACTTCCAGAGATGGGGAATCCAGAAGTTCTCTGGACAGCCTGTGCTGGGCATTAGCACCCTCTGAGTAAAGAATTTTTCCCCAGTATCCAATTTAAACCTGCCCTCTGGCAGTGGGAAGCCAATCCCCCTTGTTCTGTCACACCATGCTCTTGTAAATAGTATCTCCATCTTTCCTGTCATCTTAACCTCTGGTCCAGACCAGAAACCTGCCTTTCCTGGTTGGAAGCAGGAGCCAGCAGTGCCTCCATAGCAACCAGATGATGAGGAGACAGGGTTTGTTTTGAAATCCAGTCCCTAATGGTGACTTCAGCTCCTGGGATTCAGCCCAGGCCTCCTGCTCGCCACAAACTCCATTTTTCTCACGCTGACCACAGACCTGCTTCTGTCTGAGGATGTGGTGAGCACAAAACAAATTCCCCCTCACTGCCCCTGTCTGGGAAAAGCACCATAAAAGCCAACAAACTTTAACCAGACCTGTTATGGTTGTTAAGTGTCACAATTTATTTTCCCTCAGTGAAGTTCCATCTGGAAGGTTTCACCACAAGGAGCATAATAGTATTTTTTTTTTTATTTTAACTAATCCCTGCTGAAGTGGGAATCATTATTCAGAGCAGGAATGGATGGGCAAAACCCCATCCAGACCTGGATTTTTGGCTCAACAGGTGTTGGACCTGGCAGGGAGGGAAGATGCAACAGGCACCTGAGTGGCTGATGCGTGTCAGCAGAGATCCATCTCCTACATCTCCATCCCCAAAAACCCCCAAGGGGGGCATATAACCACAGGCTACAGCCTGCAGCTGGTGAAGTGATATTAAATGAGTGAAAACCAGGTTATTTTAGTGTTGGAGGTCACGTTTCTATGGCACACAGTCAAATTTACCCACATTCCCATGTTTTTTTGCCACAGTCAGTGTCTAGGTAGCCTGGCTCTTTCTGGAATTTTGAGTGATGGAAGACATCCCTGCCTGATCCCATACTTTGGCTCTAACTTGGAGCACACAAAACCTCCCCAAACCTCTCCTTCCATCTCTGCCTGGGAGATGGGTCTGACAGAGCAAAGCCTGGGGACAGCAGGTGACATTGGAGCACCTTGGGCTGTCCTTTGCCTGCGTTTGTCAAGGACAAACAAAATATTGTTGCCTTTGTGTGTGTGTCCCTGGCAAAAATGGTTTTTCATCCCAAGAAACCCACAGAAAGAGTCTGAAAAGTTTGGTCTGAATGGTCCTTCTGCCCTGGTTACCTCGTGCAGGTGTCAGGGGGGACAAGGAAGGGGATTATGAAGAGCTGTGAGCCACCAGTGAGGCTCCTGCACCCTCACACAGCTGGACACAGCCCTGGTAATTTTTCCTACCTCCTTGCTGAGCATTTCCCATCCCACTCTGGCATCCACTGGATCAGAAGTTGTTTGGGACAGACCTCCACAGCTCAAATCAAAACCAGGCAAGAACTGAATCACAGGTTACACCTGGACTGCCCAGGGGGTTTAGGCATCCAGTTTGTGCTGGTCCCAGTGAATTTTGGAGCCCAAAGAGTTTGGGAATCCAGTTTGTGCTGGTCCCAGTGAATTTTAGAGCCCAAAGGGTTTAGGCATCCAATTTGTGCTGGTCCCAGTGAATTCTGGAGCCTGCAAGCCATAGCATCATCAAATTATTAAGGTTGGAAGAGATCTCCAAGGTCACCAAGTCCAAGCTTTGACCACACACCACCATGGTGGGCCCTTTCTTCCTGCAGGAATGATCCAGGTCTGAGGCTGGATTTTGCCACCACCCTGCTTGATTCCTGCACAGGTTCTGCACCCCCACAGCCATCCTGGGGAGTCAGGCAGTGTGGGGTGTGTGAGCAGGGATCAGGGCATCCCTGATTTTACCCACAGCAGCCTTCACCCTCTGCCTGAATAGCCCAATTCACCCAACCCCACCAAGGTTGGACACCTCCGAAGTGGCACATCCAGCCCTGCAGCTGTGCCCAGCCCAGAGATTTCAGCTCTGCCTGGGCAGGAGGAGCCTGCAGGATGCTGCCATGTCCTGCTTTCTAAAGTCCCTGCATGGCACAGTCCTCCCACGAGGGAAAGGTGACATCCCTGGTGGAGCACCCACCACCTTCCCTGCCTGTGCTGGTGATGCTCCTGGAGCAGCAGCCTG